CTTAATTCATATTCCGAACACAAATTAAGATAATTTTTAAGAATTTCGGAGAGCTTTTTGACCCTCCACAGACAGCAACGGAACTACCACGTTCAAAGCCCAGAAAGGTAGTAAGGACATCATTAAAATAGTCCATATGTCATCGATGGTTCAACCTTAATTTTACGAAGCTACAAGAATACTTTTTGTGTGCAAAGAAAAGAAAAATAACAATTGTATTCAACAATTTCGTCTGTTCCGTGTCAGAATTCGGCACGCTCATGACAGTACCACGGCACATCCGTCTGGTGCTGCTGATGCAGGAGCAAGAAGAGAAGAATTGTATAAAGTCGTTATTTTTGTTTTCTTTGCTCACAAAAGAATATTCTGGTAGCTTCATACAAGTATGGTTGAAGCACTGATGTCACATGGACTATTTTAACAATGTCCTTACTACCTTTCTGGGCCTTGAACATGGTAGTGCCGTCGCTGTCTATGTAGAGTAAAAAAAAAACGTTTAATCAAAAATATCTTAATTATATGGAGGGTCAGAAAGTGCTCAGATTTGATTAAAAAAAAAAAGGTCTTACGGATTTGGAACGACATGAGGGTGAGTAATTAATGACAGATTAAGATAATTTTTAAGAATTTAATTTCATATGAAATGTTTCGAAACCAGAATCCTCGTTTTCTGAAATCACACGTTCCGGACCACTGATTCAGAACTAAAGATTCAGAACTAAAGATTCGAAGCTTCTTGTTTCCGACAGCGGCAGCGGCTATCATCAGCGTCAGTGTCGCCGCCATATTGGACCGGGCAGCTCTTTGTCAGAAGACTGGTCTGAAGAAAATATGCCTGATTCGTGTGCTGCTTGGGGCTGCAAAAACCGCCGCACAATCCAAAGCAGATACCGGGGAATTACTTTTCACAAGTAAGGCTGTTGCGTCTGGTTGTATCAGGTCATTTTTACATTAACAGAGCCATACTGTTAATTGCTAACGATAACAGTCGCTAACTGTAAAAGCTGAGACTGTATAAAACATCTTAGAGGTGAAGTTCTTATAAAGTCTCAGGCTGTATTATAGTTTATATAGGGATTTATTATAGTGGTCCAATCAGCATGACCCATCTCGACTTTTACAACCCATCGCACTGGTTTGAGCAGCGCCACCAAGCCACGTAGCTGTGTACCTAAATCTTTAGCTAAAACACGTTACAGAAATGAAATGAAGCTAAGTGAAACTTTGTGCATTTCTGTGATATGACTCACGTTTCAGGTAGGTAACAACAAAAAAAACCTAAGTTTGTGTGACAAGTTAACTTTCCTTATTATTTCAGCTGATAACACAATAGCAAGGTACACACTGATTTTTCGTTGTTTTATTACTTACATTATTAGTTATCAGCAGTGTTGGGAAGGTTACTTTGGAAATGTAATAGGTTACAGATTACAAGTTACCCTATTTAAAATGTAATAGTAGTGTAACTTTTTCAATTACTTTGTTAAAGTAATGTAACTGATTACTTTTTAAAATTTCTAATGATACGGATTTGGAACGACATGAGGGGGAGTAATTAATGACAGATTAAGATAATTTTTAAGAATTTAATTTCATATGAAATGTTTCGAAACCAGAATCCTCGTTTTCTGAAATCACACGTTCCGGACCACTGATTCAGAACTAAAGATTCAGAACTAAAGATTCGAAGCTTCTTGTTTCCGACAGCGGCAGCGGCTATCATCAGCGTCAGTGTCGCCGCCATATTGGACCGGGCAGCTCTTTGTCAGAAGACTGGTCTGAAGAAAATATGCCTGATTCGTGTGCTGCTTGGGGCTGCAAAAACCGCCGCACAATCCAAAGCAGATACCGGGGAATTACTTTTCACAAGTAAGGCTGTTGCGTCTGGTTGTATCAGGTCATTTTTACATTAACAGAGCCATACTGTTAATTGCTAACGATAACAGTCGCTAACTGTAAAAGCTGAGACTGTATAAAACATCTTAGAGGTGAAGTTCTTATAAAGTCTCAGGCTGTATTATAGTTTATATAGGGATTTATTATAGTGGTCCAATCAGCATGACCCATCTCGACTTTTACAACCCATCGCACTGGTTTGAGCAGCGCCACCAAGCCACGTAGCTGTGTACCTAAATCTTTAGCTAAAACACGTTACAGAAATGAAATGAAGCTAAGTGAAACTTTGTGCATTTCTGTGATATGACTCACGTTTCAGGTAGGTAACAAAAAAAGACATGTAACTAGTTACTCCCCAACACTGGTTATCAGAAGTTTTTACTACTATTAAAAATAGTATACTATACAAATAGTACACAAAATATCTTTTTTTCACGTGACATCAAATCCTAAAAAGTCCTTTGCTTCATTTACTTTACTGAAAACTTAGAAATGTCTAATTATTCTTCCAAAAACTCCATAGCTGTACTAAATACAGACACCATGCAAGTTATTACTGTTTGGACCTTTGCTAGGAAGAAACTGTATACAATGAACCTGTTGAAACTTCGAGTACCCATGGTTTACATTGTAAACCACATTGCCCAAGACTTATCATCTATATTGGCTTTTTTTCTATAAACTGACTTTAATGACAAGCAGTTTGTTTCGGGTGAGTGACTGACATATTGTGAATCTGACGATTGTTAGCTGGCTATGTAACTTTTCTCACATTTTGAAGGTTTCCTAGGGAGAAAGCATTGAGGAGGCAGTGGGAAATAGCTACAAGAAGGAAAGGTTTTTCCGCCAGCGACTGCTCTGTGCTGTGCAGTGAGCACTTTAAGCCACAGGATGTAGACAGGACAGGTCAGATTGTCAGGATTCGAGAAGGAGCTAAACCATCTGTCTTCAGTTTCCCAGCTCATCTACAAAGAGTAGGTTTACCACTATATTATACAATTGTGATAGCTTGTTATTAGGCTCAGTTATTCATTTTTCTTCAACCTTAGCCAGTGGCACCCAGGAAAACAAGAACATCAAGGAAAGCTGAAGAGAGGCCGCCAGTGGACTGTTCTCAGCAGTTACAAAAGACTAAACCTCTGCCTAATGTAGTGAGTATTTGAATGAATTATGCACCAAAATGCTATGATTTTGAGTGGTGTTATAAACTCATCTTCCTTTCTTCTAGGACCACTCTTATGCATTGCCTGCAGATCCCACTGATCTAAAGGCTAGACTCGGAGAAGCCTTGGCTAGAGTGGAGAGTCTGGAGCGAGACATGAGGAACGTGAAGAAACGAGAACAGCGGGCAAAGAACATGGTGCTAGCTCTTCTAGAAGACCTGAATGGAAAGAACTTAAAAAATGACGAGTTGAAACACAAGCTCAATTTCTACTCAGGGAAAATGAAGAGTTGAACTGTATGGTGGATGAGTTCCATGGATGCCAAGCCTGGTGTTAAAATGATGATGTTATATATGTTGATATGTATTTTTGATTTGTCTATAGTTCCGGTGCAGTGGTTTGGTGGGAAAAGACTTTAGCCTCCAGTCTTGTGTGATATAACTGTTCTTTTTGTGACAATTTGTCAGCCTTAGCCTAGTCATTATTTTTTGTGTATTTTTAAATATTGTGTCTACAGGAATGGATAAATATGAAAAAAAAATGTTGTAATAAATATTACAATAATATTGTCTAATGAGAAATATTTAAAGTGTGCAGTAAATTTAACTTTTTTATTTTAAAAAAATCAGTTTTTCTGACTGCGTTATTGTAATACAGTTAGCATTAAACTTAAATTCAGGAACTGTTGTGGTATCTTTGATTTTGACAAAAAAACAATAGTGACATGAGTCTTCAGTGTATTTGATGGCTTTTTGAGTTTAGATATGGGGGTTATAATTTTGAGAAATATGTTTCAGGAAATATGTTTTTGCAATCTGGAAAAACTGCAGTACTTTATATGCCATAACAAAACCATGAAAAACTTTTCATAACATTTACAACTATGGAACGTCTTCTATATATATATATATTTTTCCATTGCATACCATTGAATAGTGTTTTATCAGAAACTAGCAATATGGTTTATTTATTTAGCATATTCATTAAACCAGTGGGGTCAGTTAAAAGTAGCTTAAAACATGGTAATAAACTTTTTCGAAATAGCATTCAAACAATGAAACCTTGAATTGCCACCTTAAAGTTCATTCGGTACAGATCAGAAAATTGGGTGTTGGTTCCATCTTCAGCATCTGAACTAATTCAGCCTGTTACATCCACTATTTGAGAACAGCATAAATGCTTTTGTTTACTATATTAATACTGACTTGCATACAAACTCTGAAACAACTGCAACTTAAACTTGAAAATGATTAAACTGACAAAGGCTTTCAAATATATGTAAAAGCACTGCCTCATATTTCCTTTTTTTTTTTTTTTTTTAATCACTGTTGACCATTTTGTATCTGCACTCCATACAGGCCATTACACCTGCATATGCTTTACCAAAGAAATTCAAAAGTATTCGGGAAAAGCAAAGACAATTTAAACCAATATTGGTCTACATACAGCAACTTGAGAAAACTCTTGAATGTCATAAAACATGTTCCTTTTCTTCTTAAACATCTGTATTAATCACTCCTATATATTGACAGAAGTACGTTTACAAACCAGGAGGTGTTTTATCCTTTTATTTGTATCTGGACAAAAAAAAAAAACAAACATTTGTTCAGAATTGTTCATGTATATGTTTGTGTGACATGTTCAGTTTGTGTGTCCGTCACTCATTCATATCGTCGGTAAAGTCAAGTCAGTCACAGTTTGGGCAATTGTAGGCAGAGGAGGAAAAGAAAGAAAAAAAGATTTAAATATAAATACATTTAAAAAGAAAGAAATTACCAAACCAGGATACAATATCCACCTGGGCAAGTCTTAATATTGAGTATGAAAAGTACTTAAACATGTAGCATTGTAAACACAGGTGAGTCCGCATTACTAGACACAGCCATATGCATCGGCTCCAGGTTTGAAAGAGACAAAAAGTCTCCAAATATCAACATCTACAAGATCTAGGACGGAAGACCATAAAGACCCAATTTCACTTATTTGTGGCCTCTTGTAAATATTTTATTGTTTTCTGCACTTCTCAGAAGTTATTTTAAGGAGTAAAGAGCAGTGCAAGGACTGCAACTTTAAACTGTGCCAATATAACAATATAACCGTTAAATTTCTGGTTTAATTGTAGTTCACAGAGATACACGGATCATATGACACCCAGCTTTGTTTTGTTATTTAAAAAATAATCTTTTGGCTTCTTAAAGCAAATGTCCTTAAATGAGAACAAAACATTTGTGAAAGAGGCCTGAACGGATTTGGATTTGCTGTAATTGTGCTACGGTTAGTTACACAGGGAAGTTAGACTTGAAACAACAAAGTTGGGTCTACATGGTCAGCTAGTGCGCTCATAAACAACACACACAAAAATACTCAACGAGGGCAAGAAAAGAATTTACAGAGTTTCTCCTTCAATTGTTAGCAATTTTCCTCACTTCCTCTATGCCAACAGAACAAAGTTCAAAAGGAACACAAGCTAAGCAAACAGTACACACTGAGGCAGTATTCCAACATTGCATTGGCCTTGGATAAAAGTATTAATCCAGCACAATAAATTAGGCATTTTTTTTCTTTATACCTTGGAGTTTACCAATTTGGTGTACAAATAGCAGACCATCACATCTCTACTGAAACTGTGGCAGACAATGTAACCTCTAATTTGTAAGATAAGAAAATAGAGCAGCAATATTTGCACAACATATGTGCACATTCAAGTAAATAAAAAAGGAAAAAAAAAAAAATCAAAGACAGATTGATACGCATCAGCCTCTTGTCTTTGTTGGTCTGATTGGCACTTTTGTGAATAGGAGTGCATTTCCATTAAGAGAGCATTTCTTTGCGTTTTTTGATCAACACACCCGTGGTCTTGTAGACCATTAGATATATTTCAATGAGCATAGTTTGCTTCCCTTCCCCCAATCATTTCAGTCTATTTTCCCATTTCTCTGATGTGTATGGAAATCTGGATGACTGCAGCATCCTCATTCCGAGATGGACTTCCTGTAAATGCAGCAAATGTCATCTAATATCACGCAGAACTAGGATTTGAACCGATTTAAAGTTGATACTGTTGTCAAAGAACATCAGATCGTGGAGAGGTATTTTCAAAGAGTTCAATTCGAGTCTCGCTTTCAAAAAGGTTCTTGAACCAGAATTACTATGGAAACCTCCTTTCGGTTATCACTTCTGATCAGGAATCGCATCAGATTGACATTTATAGAAGGACAAGGCTTCTAGATACTAGGCAACTGAACACAGGATGCTGATACAAGCGGCACTTTCTTTCACAAATCATCCGTCAGTCAACGTCTCGCTATGTTTTCATAGATACAGGCCCGTCCTAAATCAAATAACCCCTAGCATTCACTCAGAGAAGCACCCTTCGGTCAGTGTACTATGGAGGTAGAGGAAAAATGCTTCCATAATGAACTGAAAAGTTTACTCACAGTTTTTAAAGTAAACCACAGTAAGTTTCGTACGGGGCGAGAGGTTAATATTCAAACTTTTCATTCAATCCAAGACAGCCCAACATCAAACCCGGGTGGGTTTAACTTTTAATGCGTCAACTCAAAAAGTGCCAAACGGTGGAACAAATCACCGTGAACGTACTTGCATACGGAGAAAAAAGAAAGAAAAGATTTTTGGAGATTATGGAAGTCATTTCCCCTCGGTTTTATGCTAATCTGTTTGTGTACATGTTTATGAAGTGTAAGCTGGTCTTGTATGCATGTGTGCAAGGTGTGTGCAAATATAACATAATATCTATATATTTTTTTTTTATTTTTTTGCCCATATATTTAATTTAAATAAGTATTCCTTGCCATACCTAAAGCACCTGCAAAACTACAGAAACCGGAACTACTCCATCTAATGAGTGCAAGCTAATTGTTGAATGAAGATCTGGCAAGGGATACAAAATGATTGTTGAACACCATGCAAAACCCCAACATGCACATACTGAGGGCTGCGCTGAACAAAACACCTCGAACCACCCAGAATTACTATGCGCCAATTAATGACTAAAAACAGAGCAGAATTAAGACTCCATCATGTGCATCAATCCGGCCCTCAGATGTGTGTATTTCCCCCAGATCACATTTCAAAGTTAAAGCCTTTTGATCAAAAGAAGAGTAATTCATAACACTGCACACCACGAACATCCTACAACTAGATATTTCACCTCTGACTGGTTTAAAACAAAAGAAAAAAAAGAAAAGAAAACTGGGCATTATCTTTACTAAATGGGCTCTTTGGGCCCCACTTTTCCAGTCATTGTCTTTTAACAGTAATGACTTTTATGTTAGGATACTCTTTTACTAAAATACCTGGATTATTTCAACACCACCACGTCAAATAGACTCTACATAAACTCCACACCCAGCATGGTCTGAAATGATGAATACTAATACTAAGAGAAATGAAACGGCTTCACAAAGGCTTTGAAGAGTGCTTAAATCCTCATGAAACGTATCTGCAGATATTACGGTAGAGTTTCGTTTATAAAGCACAGCCATATCAAACACAACCAGGTGTGTTTAATTACCAGGATATGAATAATGAACAAAAAAAGGAATTCTAGAAATGCAAAACGATGAAAAACAAACCAAGATCAAAAGATGAAGGGTTTGGATTTTCTGATTTTAAATAAATGAGAAAACAATTCTCGCATCTTTCAGTGAAAGGGGAGAATTGTAGCATACCTCCCCTTGGGAAGAAAGAAAAAAAAAAAAAAAAAAAGGACACAGCGCCACGATTTCTACCTGAGGGGATGCTTATATAGCTGCATCACTGAGGGGGGGAAATTAAAGAAACTAAAATCCTTGTCTCTCTTGTGTGAGACACACCTCAGTGTCTAAATGAATCAGTCTGGGTCATGGGTCGAAATTTGGTTCACTCAGATTTCAGTGGTTGAGTGTTTCCGGCGTATGGTTTAGTAGCGGTATTGGGTGCAGGGATGGGTGTAAAGGTAAGGGGCGGCTGGTTAAAGCTGGAAGCCCTCCATGGGGGCCTCCTGCTGCGGGAAAAGAAACTGCTGCTGGTTCTCATCCACCTGTGGAGCCAGACTGGCATCCTCTTCCTCTACTCCAAAGTAGTGCTCGATGAGGTCAAAGGCTTTCTGGTAGATCTCCTGATTTTCATGACTCTGTAGGAACTCGATTTTGTCCAACCCTGACAGAGAGAGAAAGAGAGTGAGAGTTTACACACACACAAAAAAAGAAAAATGATTTACAGTGAAGACTTATACATTAAAAAATCTATTTCAAATAAATGCTGTTCTTTTGAACTTACTATTTATCAAAGTATCCAGAAAAAAACATTAATATTGTTTTTTTTTTATCACACCCCCCAGCATCATATTTGCTGAATGAAATACAATGTTTTTTTCATTTTGGGGTGCTAATTTAAAAAAATAGTGCCCGTTTGGCTTTAGCATGTTACAATTTTTACAAAATACGTGCATTTCTTAGCATTTTGGCTTTGAATAATCATTTGTAAGGTGAAGAAGTCTTGCCTTATCCCT